TCAATAGAATGTTCTCGGATTGAATTCTCGGATGACTGATCCTTCATCACTCTTTCATTTGAATCCGTTCTATGAGAACTGATTCTTCGACGGCGTTTGGCATAAATTTTTCTGTTCTTTCAAAGGTTCAAAAAGTGCAGTCATGTATCTTCAAAAATTTTATAAGGCAAATCAATGCAAAAAACTGATAACCTTTCAACGAACGTCAGCCAACTTCATTCGATTATCTAACGGAGTGCTATCGACCAAAATAACTTCGTTGCTGTCCGAATATGCCAAAGGCCATGATTTTTCTCGATGTTGCTTCGAAATTGAATCTATTTGTATAGCAAACGCTTCTCGTGTCTCTCCTCACTTGCTTGCCATGTCATTCACCACAAAAAATGTTCTCAGTTTGTCGAATCAAGTCAACGATTGAGAAGTGTATCGAAGACAAATTTCACACTTCGGAGGTGTGTTGGCTACGCTTCGATAATGTAGAGCATCAAAATGTGCTAGCCTGTGTGTTCATGTCAGAACCCAACCAAATCGTATTACATTACACGTCATACGTATTCTATTACATCATCCTCAGTACATCCATACAACAAACAACTATTCCATATCACTTCGGGTGATGATGAATCTTAAAGAAGTATTCAAGGTATCAGTGTGAAATAAATCAACGTCACCATTTTGTTAAGCATAATTTCGTACGGCAAGTGCTGAAAAAGTTGAACGTAAATACTGCATTTTTTAACGAAGCCATCGAGCATTTTTGACCATGCAGAGCAATAAGAACAAATTGCATGCATCATCATCAGTCGTTTCACTCAATCCAATTGAAATGCAAATCAGATTATTTGATTTGTGTGAATTTTATTCAGCACAACACATTTCTCTCACTTATGCAGAATGAGTGTTAATGGATGATTGAAGAGTGGGATGTCGCATTTAAGTGTGATGATGATGATAATGTTGAAGATATTACGACAAAGATGAGAATGATGATGAGCTTGATCAGCTAGTTGATTTAGATGATTTAAGTAAGCAGTCTGAAAAACGAATAAGCATTTATGTCTCCTTTTTTGGCAGTTCGATTCAGACCAACGAAAGAAGTATTTGCGCATTCACTCCATGTTGATGCTGCACACCGCATCTTGATGGGTCATACAAACTCGTTGCTGTATACTTAAATAAACATGACCAGAAGAATTCTGTGATGAAATGCTCACACTATCAATGATAACTCAAGTTCAAGAGAGATTGCAAAAATGTAACAAGTTTAGCGTAATGACATCAAAATAAAGAGTATTCGTGCATGATTATCATATAAATTGTCATCTACTGAATAGGTCTCATAAGAATCGTTAATCATCAGGAAAGCATTCTGCATAGTAGTATGTTGAATGAAACATAATTCCTTTTCACTGCAACAAATGTTGTTTGCTTGATTGTTAAGATGCGTTTTGAGCATGCGCTGATGAGAAGATTGAATTCTATTATTCAATTATTGCGCACTGGATACAAGTGAATTCTCTAAATATAGCCGATTAACCTTGTTTTGCGATCTTCAGTTTGATAACAAATGTTTCAATTTATTCCTCGCATGAATTACAGTATTTCATTTCGCAGATTAATTCGATCAAAATTGTAGTGGTAAGTTTTGAATGGTACCTTCAGATCAGCTGAAGATTGTATGGAGCGCTGAACGCATCTGTTTGTAAGCGTTACTCAAGAGCTACTGAGAATCGCTTTTCGAGTCATTTTATTTGCGTTTATTCGAACACAGCAGAGTAGTAAAAACACTCATAACATTTTACAACCATTCAATATTTTTTAATATCTCGCTCCAAACTCAAACAATGGCATTTAAATCTTCTAATTTGGTCACATATCTTCTTCGGTAGTCTTTCGCAGGAATTTTCTGAATTAATCACAAGAAAAAGCAGTTTCAGAAATGTCTCGAGTAAAGTATCATAGCGAAAATCTTTCAGACAAATTGCCATCTGATAAAGCAACTAAAAATGATGTTGCATCTTCAATTACAAGCAGTGAATGACTAATAATATCTTATGCATTCACTATCAGTACGACTGTTAACTGAGGATCAGGTGGTTGGAATCAATTCTTTCAAAGTGAAGTGCACAGTTGTTTATTTTTGCTGAAGCATATTCAGAATTACGCAACAGTTTGCGATTAGCAACAACTCTAGCGACAGAACATGGACGCGGATTCCTAACCGATGAAAGAAAACATTGCCAAAATATTCGTCAGCAAATACCCTCCGATAGAGGGCGATTCATCGTATTTTCTCTGATATGTTGATTTTTTCTGATTGATATCGCACATTTTAATAGCTGTGTTATATGAAATATTAATCATCATCACAAAAGAGACGAGTATTTGGCGATTGCGCAGGAGTTTTTTTCCTCCCAAATGAGCAGTCAACAATCCGCTATCATGACAACTCATTCTATGGCCTCAAGAGGCAATTTCTAAATCTGAACTCACACAATGATTCTCAATATAAATCGGGATTTTGAAGTGTTCGTATTTGCACCTTCATGACTCATTGATCATTCATTCACGTTTCAAATAAAATCTTCAAAAATGAATCGAAATGAGACGTCTCCGTTGCACGATTTATCGAGCATTACAATACGTGTATCGAGCCTGTCTCTTGTTGGCGTAATATTTTACCTTCTTATTACTTGTTTAACACTGTGCAACAACTACCATATAACGGAACTTCCGTTTTTTGCAGATTCGAATCCGGGGACACCTCAGCGTCGATATTCGGTGGATAACGCGCTCAGCACGAGTATGTCATCTATCGCTGAAAGTTTGTTACTCGTGTTCATCAAAATTTATTGCAGAATTGAGAACCTCAAGTTGGGCTTTCCAATTCACAACTTTCAACACTGTTGACGCACCATTTGGTTGCCATACCCTCTGTTACATGTGCTGTAGTGAAAAATAGACGATTGAATTTCCACAGTGTCGATAGTAACTAATGTGGGATGAAGTAATTGTGAGGAAGAAACTATTTCAGTAAATAGTAGGCATCACATTTTTCGTTAAGCAACTATTCGTTGCACAGCCACATTTTGAACATTGATAGTTACCACAATTGATCAAGCCCAGCGTTTAATTTATCTCAAAAATTCGACTCCGAATTTGAGCAATTGATCATCTGGATTATGATTTTGAGGTCTGACAAGTCAAGAGTCCCAGTTTCATTGTAAATAATTGAACAATATGGATTTTGGAATTCCCAGCTGTTTCATTGAAGGGTTAAAATGAAAACACTTGAAATCCAGCACAGTTATAGATTCACTGTTTTGTATAATCTTCTGATTTTTCATCCTCATTCTTGACCAACTCATGACTCCAATTTAAACTCGTATTTATAACAGCTGTAAAGTGAAACTGAGCAACTGCCTCGAATCTAAGGCGAAATCTTAAGTAGTTGTTCAGTTTTTTGCTTCGCTTTATGAATTATTACGTGAAAAGCAATTATTGCAAGAAAAACAGCAACGAACTCAAGAAATAAATGATGCTGCTAACGGAACGATTTAAAAATGGAAAAAGTACTTTTGAGAGGATTTTCATTAAAACAGTGCACGGTTATTCAGTTGCAGTGGTAACGATCATTGCTGAGCATTTTTGTTGAATTTCCATAGTGGTGAGGTAACTATTGTGAAATTAAGAACGTATTGTGAGGAACAAACTATCACCATCCCAATGCATTCATTATAACTATTTCTGTGTTCAAAAAGCTGCTATTTTAATTACTCGTTTAGCAATTGATCACTTTTTTCTTAGAAAACTGATAGCTTCATCGTTGACAAATCTAAGATTGTATTATTGTTTATTGCAAACACATGTTTGTTGAGGAGATAATGTGTATGTGTGTACCATACGGTGGTTATTGAAAACAATCGCTGCTCATTCATAGCAATTTTTTGCTTCGTTTAGTGAACAACGTCATCCAATTCCAAAGTTTTAGTTGATTTTTGGTGCCATTAAAATTCGTTAAGAGAGGCCATAAAATTATCTTTTTTGAGTGATGGTGATATGCGTTATCAACGAAGAGGAGCTAGAAAGTTTCAAAGTGAATATTTATGTTGATGTATGGTAGTTCCAGGTTTTAGGAGAGACTTTTCCCTTTCGATTCCTCCCTCGACGCCATCGTTGTCAAAAACGACGATATTTTATCAATAAAATCTCGGTTAATAAATATCTCATAAAGACAGACGTGGTCGGATGATCTTGCTTGGATAAATTATCATCCTGTACGAGAACACCATGATAATCACCATCCCTAATGTATTCCTTCGATAAGTTGGGAGATAAAGGTGATAGATTCACTCTTTCGCGATAACAAGACTTACTGCTTGAACCTCGTATGCAATCTTTTATTTCAGATGGCATTATGTCTTCGTGCATTGCCAGCATATTAATGTTCTGAAATTGTTAAATCCTCTTGCTTTCAACTTCATTTGATTGTTCATTTCAATAGAACAGAAACATTAAGGAACGTTATCATAGTTCATCCTCAAAAAATAGCATTGATTTTCTTCTTTTTTCTACACCGAATTCATGTTGATGCATCTACAGAACACTTTGAAATTCCCAAAATGCCGTTGCGTTCAATGGCCCTTGTTTGGATTGGAATTGACTGACCGGTTAACGAATATGCTATCGGTGGCAACTGAAATTTGGTTCTTAGTGGCCTCCGACCGATCAACCCATATTGGCTTCGGTTGGCGGCCAACAAACCTCGGAGTTACCGAAAATCGGTGGCCATCGACGCAGTGGCAAACACTTGAGAAGGGCGAAACTTGCTTATTGCTTGGTGGTCGCACATCGATCATAGTTACTTTGGTTTTCAATCGGTGACCATCGAACAGGATATTCTACCTCTCGATCGGCGGCCATCAACCGAAATTCATGGAGTTTAAGTGGACATCGACTCAATTCTAGTTTGCCTACACTGTTTGAGAGTTGTGGGTAATATGAGGCAAAGTCACACCTTCACTGACTCTGCCAGTAAGATCTGGCTGATTCTGAGAGCATGATCAGTGAGGACGACTTATTCTTTAAACACTGTTCAATGAAGGGTCTCATATCAAAACATCTTTGCCGTGTTCAATTTTTAATGCTTTTTCAGCTTTAGTGTTCACATCCACTTATTCTGCAATTCGTTTCCTTAATCGATCGTCATTTTATATTTCGGAATATTTTATGGGATAATAAGCGTCATTTACCATTCCATAATGACATTGAGGTCAATCGAATCTGAAATGAATCCTTGAAATGGTTCAGTGAAAAGGATTGAGAAATAAAGCGATTTAAAAACGAATCTTATTGCAGCAGGCGATAGGATATTGCGAGAGAAACAGTTTTTGTTGTCAGCAGAACGAGGTGATATTGGAAGTGTTCGTAAATTGCTCGATTTCGCTAGGAAAACAGACGCTCTGAATATAAACTGTCTTGATCCACTTGGCAGGTTGGCACATTCAATTAATCGATGTTTTATTCAGTTACATTCTTGCTGTTGCCCATCATAAGAACTTGTATTCGAGCAACTCCACTCAGAGATTCCATTTAGTGAATTCAGCCTTCGCACATCACTAGTCTCCTCATAACTGTGCTTCTTTTTACTGCCTGTGTTTTTTATAGCTTTTGCGTTCCGTTTGCGGCTGCAGAAGAATATAAAAAAGTGCAAAATTGATATTATGACCTCTCAAAAGAACGAGTTATCAGATGAGAATCTTCTGAAAAATCAAATCACTCTCAGGATGTCGTTCTTCATCTCAACGAAATAATGACTAAATTAAAATTGATATCCGTCTTCCATCTCGTGTTTTTTGACCTTCGAAATCGGTTTCTCGCATTTGGGAATGCTGATAATTGTAGATCCGCTCTACATATAGCCGTCGAGAATGAGAATATTGAAATGATCGAATTGTTACTCGATCATAATATTGAGACTGGTGATGCGATATTGTACGCAATCGGTGAAGAGAACGTCGAAGCGGTCGAGATTATTTTGGAGCATCTCGAGAAGATCGAAAAGTTTAATCCTGAGGTAATACCCTCATCGTGGATCGCTTGTAGTGATATTGAATTTTAGATTCTAATTTTTTTGCGAATTGATATTAATTCCTATTCCAATGGAAATATGCATCAAAAGATTGTTGAAAAACGGTGCTGCTCGTTTACTGTTAGTGTTCACGACGTGAATAGCAGTTCTTGAGTTATTTATGTATGTTAAGTGATTATGCGACTGATCACAATCAGATGTGCTTGCTTATTGATCGTGACAAAAGTGTTATCACCGTTATTCGCTCATTGTACATACTCACGTTTCCATGAATTATTGCATGGCGAGCGTTTATTGTGGTCATTTTCAAGTTTCACAGGATTTTTCCGGATGACAATTTCAGACGCAAGGAGTGGAAATAAACGAGCATTCAGCCTTCACGCCTGATATCACACCAATCATTCTGGCTGCACATAAAGATAATTACGAGTGCATAAAATTATTTCTTGATAAAAAAGCAACAATACCTCATCCTCATGATGTGAGATGCTCTTGTAAGGATTGTCTCAACGTAAGTTCAGTCATCATTCTCACCAGCAGCAATTTCTGACTGCGGTATTGTAGTCGTGTTGTGCGCTGATATTTTCCAATCATTTCTTGTATCCTCGTTAAATTCTTCATTGCTATATCTCTCAAGTCCGGTTTGGACGAATGTACTGCTAAAATCAACATCTAACATCGGGTTGAGCTGTGTTCACATTGAGAATCGCTCTTTGCTTTTCTCTCCCTATATTTGCCTCATTGATTGTAAGGAGTGAAGGGCAATTTAATGAAAATGACTGAATAATTGGCCGTAGTCGATTTGCTATGCCAAAAATGTAATGATTTCGAACGAAATTTCAATTTTAATCGTCCACTGCGCGAAGGATTAAAGCAATCATCCCTAATGGCAATACCCAAATAGACAATGGCAATCCTGAACATCAGTACTTATACAACCGCTTAACATAGCATTTCTGCACAATTTGAATACAACAGCAGAGGAACTGATTTAGGATTATTGTTATTTTAAAAACTTTGTAACAAAATTTTTTGTCCAAGTCTGACTCAATTCCCAACAAATTCTTCCATGATGCTTGGTCAATTCACATTTATCCCATCAAGTCAAATTGAGGTTTTGATTTTAAAGGCGAAAGCTGAAGACTCACTACGTCTATCACGATCTCGGATCAACGCCTATCGTGCCCTGGCAAGTCCATCGTTGATTTGTCTTTCGACTAAGGATCCAATCTTGTATGCATTTGAACTCAGTTACGAACTTCGGCGATTATCTTATATCGAGAATGAGTTCAGGAGTGAGTACCAGGTAAATCAACGTATGGATCATTTTGTTGCATCGCGATAACTCTGTGGCACCACATCGTCAATAATATCTAGATACTTATAGTGTTTCACTTTCGTGAATAAATTTGCCGTCAGATTATTGATGTTGTTTCCGTTGCAAACCTGATTCTTGCAGTATCAAACATTTTGTTATGCACCACTGATAATTCAGTGTATACATGATGTAACAGCATAAAACGATAGCTAATAAGAAATAGTCGCAAAATAAGTCATCAACGCACGCATTCGATTCTGATTGTTGCTAATAGACCATTGAGATATTGCGTTCCGAATTCTGTACGAGCATTGTTGAAAATTTTGCGAATTTCAGGAATTGAGTCAGTTATGTCAAAAATTCTCGGTGAATATGCTCGATCAAGTGCGCGGTTCAAAGGAACTTGAGATTGTTTTGAATCATACAACAAATGCATGGGAAGAAGTCACACAGCACAAGTCACTGCATCTCTGTCATCAGCTGGCTCGACTTAAACTAGCTGTTCAGCTGAGGCAAAAAAGAGTTGGTTACGAAAATGTTCTGCTTATAATCAGAAACAAGCAAAATTTCGTGTTCTGATTCAGTACGAAGTTCATTCAAAATGCGTTTTCAATGAAGGTGCTTCCTGAAAATTTCTTACTAAATCAGAATTTCTTATTGAATCTGTTTTGAAACGTTCGCGTACTGGTTTTGATCGAAACAGTTTTCAGTTTGTGGCGCATCCAAATTGTCAGCAGCTTCTCGCGTCGATCTTCTATGAAGGTGTTCCAGGGTTCCGTAATCGACACTTTCTCTTTAAGGTCACATGCATCTAATTTTAACTTCCAATGATCTTTAATGATTTTTAACTTGATCTCTCTTCATTTTATCCCTCCCAAACAATACTTATTTTCTTTGCTGCAACCGAAGAAAATATTTATCTTTTACAATATAACTTCCTAAATGTGAGTCCAACGCGATTTATAATTCTTCAGTTGGTTCATTGAAGTGTGGGCCATCATTGTTACGCTTTCTTGAAGTCCTCAAAAAATTGAAAATGTTATAAACATAGATAATGACTACTGGCTAGTTGATGAGATCAATCTTTCGCTATTTAACAACTCAATCAGTTCCAAATTTCAGCTATCTGAATCACTGTTTTTTGAATGAACTATTCACTGAATGGTCAATAAAGTAAAGCGTTTTGTCGTCAACGATAGCTTTTCCAGCCCTAATCCTTCGTGTTCTTGAATCAAACGATTACTGATTGCTTCGCGATGTGACTTCATTTTCAAAATTTTACGAAGAATATTTATTGAATGAATTTTTTGTATTAGCAATTCCATTGCATCAACACGTGATTACATTCTCGGTTCAAGTTGATGCTTTTCATTAAATATCGTTCGCAGTTTGTAATGTATCAACGCTCTTTTCAGGTGCTTTTGATATTGTGTGTATCAGTTTCGTTCCCAATTCTTTCAATCGTCTATTTGATTGCTCCGAAGTCGTCAATTGCTGAAATAACACGCAAACCGTTCATCAAATTCCTTTGCCATTCTGCCTCGTATTGCTTCTTTTTATGTCAGTTTATAAAATACGATTTTGAATCGTTGTCCAGTGTGCTCTTAGCGATGATTACGAATAATTATGCAAAATACAATCAGAAATTCCCTTATAACTCCAATTTTTAAGAGTTTTCCTGTTCAAAACGATTGATTTACTTCACTATTTGCCCCGAATGAGTGGTGCATTATTCTCAGCTAATTTGTAATGATGATATATCATTTTTACACTGATTTCAGTTTTGCTTATCCTGGCCAGTCAACGTATTAATTATGATAATGTGTTGAACAGTGCGTCGGTATCCGCTAATTTTGGTGAGTTAGATCCTGACAGAAAGGAAAGGCGCGGTCCACCACCTACGCCTGTTGAATGGGCCATTCTTGCATGGGTTATCGGTCAGTCTCATTCTCTACTTATGAACGTTGATGTATTCATATCAATAGAATTGTATAATTTTTTGTTATTCACATTCACAGAAACGTTTGAAATATTTGGTATCTTTGAAGAATACTTGTACTCCATAGCTCGTTCGATTTGACTATCGCTTTCAGGGTTGATATGGGTGGAAATAAAACAACTGTGGGATGCGGGTCTGTATGATTACTGTTATAATTTGTGGAATATCCTTGACTTCATCACCAATTCCCTCTATTTGTGCACTTTTGCTTTAAGATGTGTTGCTTATTATCAAGTTAGTTGATCGTACTCATTCAGTGGTTATGATGATTATATTTCGTGTTTTAGTTTCTTTGAATCCATCGCTTAATGAATCCATGTAATGAGAGGTGTGTAGAAGGTTAGTTGAGCGTATTATTTGATGATTCCAAAGTGAGTTGGTTGACGTCAATGAGCAAGAACATGATACGTCAACGATCGAAGCTAGAACCGATTGATCGTTCAAAACGAAAAGTAATGATTCTTAATTCAGGTTGAAGCCGAAATGCGTGATCCACTGAAACAGCATATTGGTCGGCGCTTACAAAGACGCGATTGGGATGCATGGGATCCTACGTTGATTTCTGAATGCGTTTTTGCCACTGCGAATATATTCTCGTCTCTGAAACTTGTACATATTTTCACCGTTAATCCTCATCTCGGTCCACTGAGAATATCACTCGGTCAGTTGTGATTATTCCATTTCTGAAATTCATTTATTCAGTGAATACTTTCAACTCATTACGAGCTTATTCTTTTCTGCTATCACATTCACCAGTCTTGGGCATTGCCCATCCCACATTGTCAAGGCTTGTTCCTCTACATGGCAATCCTTCTGTACTTTCCTATCCTATTGCCAACAACTTATCATGGTCACAGTAAAATATGCACTTGAGTGTGAATGAATATAAGGGGGAATATCCTGCTGTCAGGATGAAACATTGTTCGTTAACCATTTACAAAATGGCCTACGTAAACAGCAACGGATTCATTGCGTGAATGAGTTCATTCAATGAATCCATTGCTGTTTCATGTCAGTTTCTTATAGCTGAAGATGATTCTTTAAGGACGTATGGTTATCGATATATTGAAATTCTTTCTTGTCTATTGCCTTGTTTTATTCGCCTTTGCTTGTGGGCTCAATCAACTGATGTGGTATTATGCAGCTATGCGACAACAAGTTCTTATTTATTCATTTCTTTCGATTCTTTTCTTGAAATAACATTTTTCAGAAGTGATGAATCAATCTGACAGATTTGTCATATGATGGACAGTCTGTCGGAATTGTCATATAGTGGATAAACTCAAAAAAATTCAGCATAATTGCTTATCATTCTAAAATTCAGCTCGAGCATTCCACTTATTAATTTACCTAATAATTGTTCCCATACCTTTCGTACCATCTCTCTGTTATAAACACCAAACGATTTCTCTTAAGGAATGTGAACAATATAAAATAATGAGTAACGATCCATATCTGAGTGAGCATCCAACAAAACAAATGAAAATCTTCGAAGAATCGTGTGATCCGAAATATCGATCATGTGCCAGGTATTATGGTTACGATTATTTTTATACTTCGCTTAATTTCGTCTCGATTGAAGACTTCTTTATAACTATAATTGCAAAAAGATCACCTTTTGCTAGAAACCTCGATTTCAATGTCCCATAAAGTTGAGGATTGTGTTGTTTATTAAGCAAATGTTCTGATGCAACTGTTTCATCAAAAGCGATTCCTTGTTATTATGTCGTTCTTATTGATAGTTTCACTCTATTGTGCATTCATGAAGGAATCTAGTTGTGCTGAAATATAGGGACTCACTGAATAGAACCGATATTTCTTCTGGTTTTGGAACCCGGATTTTGACAATTCTGTCTGATCCTCTTCCTTTTTTCTTCAGTCAGTTACTTTCTGTTGAAATCAGCCGCCTTGTTTTGATACACCATCTCATTTGTTTCTATTACGTACCTCTAAAATGACTCCTGCATATCGATATATCCATGCGTACAACAACTTTAAATTTACATTTTCTACTCGCCAGAATAATTCAGCCTTTATAAATCTATGGAAACGTTATTTTGGTCATCGTTCGGTTTGATTGGACTCGAAAATCTGGACATTGTTGAACCACATGGTCCCACGCAGTGGACTGGTAGAACAATATTCGGCAGTTATTGTTGCTGTTCAAGTATTGTCCTTCTTAATATGCTTATTGCGATGATGAGTAACTCTTACGAGAATATTCATGTAAGTCCGAGTTGAGATGATGACATCGTGCAGTGCTAATCTTTTCATTTGACATCATTCCATTCACACTTTCTCTTCTCACAGTGTTGCACTGTTATGGCATATTAGAAGTATCTTTTTCTCGAACTGCGGTAAAGACGTGGGCACGAAGTGTCTTGGATCACCCAAATGGTAAGAGATTTCAAAACAACACCTGAGCCACCATGGCGAGATTTTCCATCGAAAAACATAGGAATATTTTGAGAGTGAACTCACTTGACTGAACCTCTCTGCACACGTCATTGCCCTGCATTATTATCGTTAGTATGTTATGGCGTAGTGATCACATTATATCATTTAACCCGATGCACCACTTTAGATAACTGCTTGATCAATGGCTTTAGTTAGCATTCTCTAATAAAGCTTATTCTTTCTTTAAAAAGTGTTACCGCAGTAAACGTATTGTCGTTTGTTAAATATACTCCCTATCGCCTAATAACAACACTCTTCCGCAACGGATTAAAAATTGTGATGAGCAAAATCTTCACACCATTTACTCCTGTTTTCATCGAAAAAAATCTAATAGGAAAACTGAGCATTAAAGTAATTGTCTTTACGCATCATAACAATATCATTTCGCTGCATATCTTTGCTTAAACGTTATTCTATCACAGTCTTTTAAAATTTTGTCTTTTCACCTATGTTGTCATCTTCTATTCGCTGCTTAATTTATCTTCCTTATTCATAGCGGTTATCGATGTGATCTTGCATTATGGCTCGAATTCGATAAATTTAAAACAACTTCAATCCACTAACTTTTAACTTGCATTTTGTTGCTTTATGATTATTGTATGGAATATAATAACTAAAATTTAGCACATTACCTGTTTGCAGTCTATTTAATACGTTAGAGACACTGTTTTGGGCGATGTTCGGTTTAATCGATTTGAGCCACTTCGTTCTCAAAGAGCAACATGTCATAACTGAATGGACTGGTAAAACGATATTTGGCAGTTACAGTTGTTGTTCCATCATTGTTCTGCTTAATATGCTCATCGCAATGATGAGCAATTCATTCCAGTACATTTCTGTGAGTTATTAATCTTTCATCCACTTATTTCTTACATTAACCATCTCTTTCTTATCTCATCTCAATCTATTGCTGTTCTAATGAACTGTGTCAATCGCAGCTATCGAACAAATACCTCGCAACGGTCGCAGCTTATTGGTCAAGCTGTTATCGTTGGTCCCACATGCAACCGCTCTTTTCCTTCAAAATCTTGTTCTTTCATCATTTGAATTCATCCCAATTCGGGTACAAAAAGACTGTGGAGAAATTCATACTCTCTTTATCAGTATTTGTGACAAAAATTCGAATACTTATGAGTAACATATTGTTGAACGCTTTCATATTCCCAATATGGCACGCTAAATAACTTAAACATTCAAAAGAAAACGTAAACTCGAAAATACCGTTTCCTTCCTTAAAATTGTTTGATATCATTACGATCGCTCATCAGAACAACAACCACACTCGAATATCGTTTATGTTCACAGTGTTTTATAAGCTCTCTTCCATCTTACAGTGTCTATTGTTAATTGATTCATTTTCTTTTGCACATTACAGCTAATTTAATTTCGTTGCGAATGAATGAAAATGCAGTGAGTGTTTATTAACGCCTTTTCGTTGACCCAATGCACCGTTTGAACGTTTTTCGATTGACAAATTGCAAGGGAGTGTTGCATCGGTGTTTGTGCATAATACGATTAATCTGCTTTAATATTCTGATGGTGAATGTTGAGTGTAGTTGTTAAAGAAAGATTATCTTTATTGTTACGATCAATTAAATCAGATCAAAATACCGCAGGCAACATTATGCTGTTATCCCATTTCTGAGTGAGTTACGGTTTTTTATTGTTATGGTTCAAATGCCCTCTCTGGTATATTTTTAGACCGTCCACATTCGGAATGTCTCTGAATGTTGGCTAAAATTGTTTCAGAATTGTGTATTAATGTCGAGTTTGAGTACTGACGAAATACACTTGTGTTATTCTATGAAAAATTCGTTTACCTATTGCAAATGAAATGAATGAAAGAAACAGTGCACGTTTGCTTGCTGTAGTTGTTTGTGGTAACGAATCGAACAAACGCATGCAACAAATGCTATTTGACGAAGATTCTTTCAGAATCAAGCCGATGTGGAATGGAAATTCGCACGAAGTAAGCTGTGGATAGAATACTTCGATGATACAGGAACACTACCACCTCCGTTCAATATGATTCCAAGTCCGAAGAGTTTCTATTATGGTATACGATGGTTATGTGACAGATTTTGCCATTTTTCAAGGAGGATTCAGCAAGGAAAACAACGGAGCATGAGGGTTAGTTGAAACTACGACGGACCATTTCATTTCTGAATTCATTCATCTGATTTTCTCAAATCAATAAGAAGTAGTCAATATCCTTCCAATAACAACGTTTGTCTAAGTTCTGGATCGACTCCAAATCGAATGCACTCCTTGGGCTGTACGAAGGATTCTTAAACTGCAATTTGGTTACTTTCGCTCATCTTTGATGAGGAAGTTGCTTCTCGCCAAAATCTACGTTTTGTTCAGAAATTCTAAAAAACTCAAACATTAAGTAAATTAATCTTCTTTCAGAACCAAAAAATTCTAAGAGTGGTTAACAAACGCGAGAACAATTATCGCGTAAGTGCTTCAAGTAAATGTTTTAACTTGAATTTTATTTGCAGAGAACAATCAGCATAATCTGTGAGAGGGAAGCTCAGTTCTCGGTAATACTCAAAAGCATGCTTTAAAGTAGTAGTGATCAGATAAATATTATAAAGCACAGAATAGTGACTCGTGAGCGATATGCCAGTGTTCTTCTTCCTATGCTTCTGTCCCCTTTGTGGTCATTCGAATGTGATTTGAATCTGTCAATTTAGTAGCATTCCTAGGAATATCTTGATTATAGTTTGTGATGCGTAATCTCATCAAGCGGTATATCGCGCAGATGCAACGATGTAAGCAGCAACGGGAAGGTGTTAATGAAGACGATGTGAACGAGATTAAACAGGTTTGCTTAGTTGTTGTTATCGTTCTGAGCATTGTTATTATCCATGACCAGTCCTAACAGAATCTCGACATTCAACGCACGAAGTATCCGTAACATTAACTAAGTATCCATCAAAAGTATTTTCAAACGCTGCCTCTAGCAAATGTATTCATTACGTCAACTACTCATTGTTGTGAATTAGAACCGAAACGTGAAAATTTCCATTTTTATCCTTTAGAAATTTATTATTTCATCGAATATTGCAGGACATTAGTGCCTTTCGATATGAACTTCTGGGAATTTTGCGAAGTGCCGGTTTCAATACCGGTCATGCAGATATTAACCAAAAATCATTTTGTGAGTGCTTTTTCTGCACTTATTCTTTGGTTCAATAATTATACACGCTTATTTTGCCGGTTTCGCGAATTTGGCCACATATTCATTATCAGATTTACTTCAAATTAATATCGTAAATAGTATGTGTGAATGTTCAAGAAAATATTCAAAGAGGATATATATGTAAAATTATTTTTAGCTCGTAATAAGAAAAGAACCGCGATGGCTGAAAGAAGGTTAAAGAAAGGATTACCAGATGCGTTCAATATACCAATGCCCGAGAGTTTCAATAGTCCAAACGATAGTCGAATGGGCAATATGTCATCATTTTTTGATTCAGAGTCAGAAATATTCTTTATTGCAATATTACCCTAATGCTATAATTCTATCAGAAATGGCTCTCCCTATCTTAGCATTATGAAAATCATTGATAAGGTTTCTGGATCGATATCCAAATAAGTCGTTGTTTATAATCATTTGTTACTCACTCAGTCAAACTCGCAAAATGGCATTACGGCCAATCCGTTAAGCGTTCCTCATCGTGACCGCTCAATATTAATAAATATGCGTATTCGGTTGTATCAGATTAAAGAGAATTTATTCTTAATGACAACGGAGCATATGCTCAATGGATGCTGCTCCTTCCAGTGGAAATGTTCTCAGACCATTGCGAAATTCATTGAACTGCCTCAGAAAACACTCACAAAATGATCGCGTACATCTGACATGAAGATTTCGTAGTCATTAGCTAAGATGCAATTCATAGTGCACTTATCCTGTCGTAGGCCTTTGTTCTGGAATGAACTTTCATCAAATCGCAATAAACCGTTGGATGCAGCAACTCTTTTCAGTAGGATGACACCACTGAAGATACCCCACATGAACTGGGCTGATAAACTGAAGAAGATGTCGAAGAGGGTAAGTAACCCTTGTTGTAGTTGTAGTAGCTTAGTTGCTTTGAGGGGTGTGTTTTTTGTTGGAAAGTTGAACGTAGTTTGTTATTGCATGTTAGTGATAGATTCAGTGAACGGAATAGTTCGCTGGAGGGTGAAGAAGATCAGTAGTTGCATGTTTCAGGTCAGTTTCGTTCAGTCTGCAGCAGAATCACCCGTCTCCAATTTACCTCACAGAAAAAGCGCACTGAAATTACAGAAAAAGAGTCATTCCTTCGAGCAAAACTTTGCTCAAACACATTCATCATTCCCGAACCTTCACTGTGAACTGTCCGAAGCGAACAAGACTATCATGGAAGATGAAGCGTATGCTTAGAAATGCCGTTGATCCTTTGCATTTTCATCTGCATTCTCTTAATCACATAATTTTTGAGTCGTTAAAATATTCGAACCATTTTATGTAACTTCCGGTCAATCTCAAAATCGCTTCAATTTTTAAATGCTTACGAATATTATCACATTTCCAAACAGTACCACTGCCATTGGTGATCATCACTGATTTTATTGGTCACCTAACAGTTAAAATTGCTTCAGAATACATTCATCAACTCAAGAGGCTGCTGCCCAGGATCACCCCGGAGCACCTCTCGCAACACCTGAACGTATTTTTGGGTAAAACCTTGAATAACATTTTATTTTGCGCACTGAAATTTTGCGTCGATAATAGTTTTGGATTCGAAAAAATAGACGAAATTCATTCGAGATCGATCGTATTTCTTCGCAACTTTGGATCAATTCGAATAGGTCCCACATATAACGATAAATGTATTTGCTAATCGTACTGCAATTTCAGATTTAACGGTGATGAGGATGTAAGCAGACGTCGAAGTCGATTGTCCAAACAAAGACGACATACCGACGAAACTGTACTCAATATTGAACGTGACGATTTGTTGTTGTGATATGAACAGTGGTATAGCAAATCTGTATCG